TTTATAATCTGTCATATATTATTCATGATGCTATAAAAATAAAAATATTATATTTTTCCATCAAGATGTTTTGTATCATATCAAAATATTAGCAGATTGCAAGAAACTATAAGCATTTTATAATTCGGGTAATTACTAAAACATTGACTCATCATGTACTAGCTATATTACAAAATAGATGTTTCCACTTGTTACTAATTCCTGAATTTTTCCATATTTTTAAGAGCCTCATATTTTTTAATGTTGATAATGTTTTTTGTCTATGAAGATTCTCAGTCATTCAGGTTATAGTTGTTCCAAAGGTGCTTTTTCAAAAGGCAACTGGACTTGACTTTGTTTTTTTCCTTGAAGACATTTTGCTTCTCATCCAAGAAGCTTCTTCAGTTCTGAATGAAGGGAGGTGGGAATGGAAGGATTTATATTCCTTGCAGTCATCTGGTCATTAGAAGTCTCTCTGAGAGTCAGTGAAATTTAGGAATGAGAGGCACTAGGCTTAGGAAGGTTCTTCTAATTCTATCCCAGAAGATAATTTTAGAAGCAAAAGTGAGCAGAAGTGGGACAACTTTGTCTCTTCTTTGTTTTATAGCCAACCTTTTCTCTTTGTCTTAGTCTTTATCCAGAAGTTTATTCAAGGGCAGAAATAGGGTTCACTTTGATTCCCTATTTTTCTCCTTGTCCCATTTTCTCTGCCTGGGCTCCTCATTCTTTTCTGAAATTAGGTCAAATACTACAAGTTTCACACCTCTGATCTAAGGTATAGAAACATGGAAACTATCTTATAGCAAGTTAGGAAATTAATTCAAGACTACCTAGTCCAATTGCTTCTGCCAATCTTCCCATTCCATGATATTTCATCCTTTCAAGTAGAGGTGCCAAGGATTGAACACAAATCTTCTGCATGCAAGCAAAGTACATACTTTAATATTGAACAATTTTTGTGTGTAATGTAGCTGATGGGAGAAAATTAATAGAACAGAAGCAAAATATTATATCCTACAGAAGATCTCTCTGAAGGCAAACTATTATTTCTCTCTTATAATAAATTGTATGATTCATTGCCTATTTTTCTTCTTCATCTTCTACAAGGAATATTCTGGAAAGCTACCAGGTTTATATTCAAGGTGGACAATCAAACCCCACTGACACATGTGCCCTTTTTGTTTCATAGCAATGAAGGCTACATTAAAAATTAAAATAAAATGTCTTTCAGTTCTTAATACTTCCTTCTTAATTCTTGGTAATTCCAGTTTAATGCCAAACCTCCTGACTTTAGGTACTTGAGTAGTACCTAAGCATCCATTTTTTCTTTCTCTAACTATCTTAATTGAGGAAGAAAAGGTCATTTGGTTCATTTCTGTTCTATTATCTCTTCTGCACAATCTGTGCCTGTACAGGGCTTTTGACTGCCATTTCTCATGCTGAAAAGCTTCATTATGTGTGCACAGCTCCACTTAATTTCTTCTCTTATCCATTTGGGACTTTAAAATAATCTTGTGTTCTTCCTGCACCCATAAAATGTTGTACGCCTCGTCCCATTTGTCTCCCTCAATAGAATCCCATTCTTGCCCTCCTGAGAACTAGCTTGAGATCCAGAACATTTGCACAGAAAAAGTGCAATTATTTAAAGGAAGGAGAAAAAAATAATAGCAGAACTTGTGCTACTAATAGGAGCATAGAGACAAAGTTCAGTGTATTGTATCTAATGTTAATGCATTCCTAAGGGGACTCCGTAGTGACAAAGAAAAGTTTTCTTGCACTTTGTAAATGAGGTAAAAGATAAATAAGAATTGCTTACAAGCACAGAGACTAAAGCAGACCCTATTTGTGCATTCTGGCTGTTCAATCTGACCTTTAATATTTTGCCATCTACTGTCAGTGGGGAAATGGCTATTGGAACTGTGATTTAAAGAATGTTTTTTTTCTCACAATAACTGCTTTGATCTTGAAGTTTTATTTATAAAGGCATTAAAAAACCCCTTATGTTGTACATTTAGGCTAGATATAGCTGAAAACATGCTTTGATAAACCATGTTGCTTTATGCATGATTTTAATTAAGGTCAAAACATGGGTGGATCAGAATCTCAGCATATTGGAGCACTGATCAGGAGCCCTAGAACTGCCTCCCCGATGTTCTTCTGCCCCATGTAGCATCCATCACTCCTTCCTCTCCCAGCAGCTATATTGCTGTAGCTTTAATTTCCTGAGTGAGCAGGCTTACATAATGATGTCTCTGTAATTGGCTTAGAATTCAGAGAAGTTTGCCTGCTTGACCCATTACAATTATTGTTAGATAGGTGGATTGAAGCAGGGGTGGATTCTAAATTTTTTTACTAGCGGTTCTGTGGGCGGGGCTTATTTTGTGGGCATGATTTGATGGTCATGTGACAATTCTTTAGAATTTAGCAGGGGTACTGGTCTACCAGGCTTTTAACTGTTTGCAGAGCTGTAACGGTCTACCCATTTGTTCTTGGAGAGTTCCGGTCTACCCATTGAAAGCATTTCGGTCTACCTATTTGTTTTTGGAATGCACCAGTCTACCCATTTGTTTTTCGAGCGCACTGGACCAGTGCACTCGACCACACTGCCTTTTAACACTGATCAGCTGTAGGACGGTCCTTTGAAGCCCCGCAGCAAGAGTTTAAACAGTTTTTTTCCTTCTAGCCGATCAGCTGGGACTCGGGAGGCAGCAAATAGATTGGGGGTGGGGCCAAATAAAAGGTAAGAATAATGCGGGATGGGCAGCTCCCAAAGAGAACCGGTTCGGTGACATCATATCGTCACCGCTACCGGCTCGACCGAAACGGGAGAAACCCACCACTGGATTGAAGAGACTGGAGATAGGCTTCAGACAACAGCTCTTTATTCAGCAACTATTTACAATCTAGCAGCTAGCCTCTCAGACAGCCGGCCCTTTTATAGGGAGCTGTCAGGGAACCCAGCCAATCACATTTAAGCATTCTTCCCGCTCAAACAACGGACCAGAGGGAAAACTATCCTGTCAATATCTAACAATTATGGTAAATTATTGCATGATGGTAACTTTTGGTGAAGCAACTTTAGAGTGGGGTTTAAGTATTTGCCTTTGACTGATCTTCCTGTTAAAAGCATGCTTTTCAATCCTCAAGCTGCCTTTGGGATTTGTCCTTATTTTTTTAAAAAAAAAATTTTTTTAAAAATAGGTGAATGGAAATCCCATTTCAGCAAGAAAATGGTGCCAGAGGAAAGTCACTACTCACAAAGAGATAATGACTACAATATATATACAATTTTAAACCTGAAATTAGAGTAATAGAACAGTTGTGATGAATTCATAGAATGTACTGAGTTTTACCAATAAACTGTATTGTAGCTTTATATACATTCACATTGTTTATAGAAAGAAAATGGCTTGTTCCTTCAGTCGGCTAAACCAAAAAACAATTAAATAACTTTTTAAATCCCATTTTAGCCTCCCACATTTTGTGAACATAGCTAAAGTGTCTCAGTTCTAATCCAAATCAGGAAGTTCTACTGCATTGTACTCATACTCATTGTTCTAAAATGTCTATTTATCTAGCTAGCTAGCTATCTCTATCCATTCATGCATTGTCCAGCATTTATTTGAGATTCTCATTTAATGAATGCTCCTTAATGCTCTAACCATTTTAAAACCTGTGAAGGTCTTGTAGTAATTATGAAACAAATCTCATAGTTTGACAATGAAGCAGAATTATACCTTTCAATAAAAACTACTCATATTGTTATCACATTAGAAAACACTAATGGACATAATCTGGGCAGAATTAAGCATCTTGAAATCCAATCATCTTTAGCCAGACCAAGGCCTACTCTATAGTATAGTAATTTTTGTTGGATTTTTCTCCAAAAGACATTTTAAATGAATTCATGTGTTCTTCTCACAGCTAGTGGCACTGTTAACCCATTCACTCATTAAACTCTGCTTTAAAATGTGCAGTGAGACATAGGAAGTTGGATGAAAGCATTCTATTATTGGGAAAAATTAACCACAGCTTGCCTATAGGATTAATCTCACAGTTGCATTGCAATGATGGTTTCGGTATTGCCCTAAATATTAGACTGGTTTTACAGAGGTGGTATTCAGCAGGTTCTGACCAGTTCTGGAGAATCGGTAGCGAAAAGTTTGAGTAATTCGGAGAACTGGTAAATTCCACCTCTGACTGCCCCCACACCTATCTATTATTTGCCTCCCGAGTCTCAGCTGATCAGGAGGAAATGGAGATTTTGCAGTAACCTTCCCCTGGAGTGAGGTGGGAATGGAGATTTCACAGTATCCTTCCCCTGCCACGTCCACCAAGCCATGCCATTTCTCACCCACCAAACCACACCCACAGAATCAGTAGTAAAAAAATTGAATCCTGCCACAGAGAAAAGGAGAGTCCAAGTCTTGTTGCTTTTATAGAAAAAATAAATTCCTGAGAGCTGAAGTCCACATATCTTAAAATTGTCAAGATTTAGAAATGCTGATTTATAATCAACATTAAGCAACCTTTTCATTACCAATGGGCTACTGTATCAAATGGGGTAAAGGTTTTCTATGAATTTTGGAAGGAGAATTTGTAGACAGTTAGGACCATTTTAATACATTGTTAAATCTATTTTAGGGATAACACTACAGTTGTGCTTTTCTTTCCCAAAAACAGTGGGAAGCTGTACTTCTTATTTGGAACAATCATAATAGGGAAAGTCTTAAAAAGCCTTAGATTCTGATCTAGATAGTCCAGCAGGGATGCAGCTAATATGCCTAACTAATTTACTATTTCTCCATTAAGAATGTACAGTCATTAATCTGAACAGATAAGACAACACTTAATCTATCATTCATGTTGCCAAAACAGCAGTGACACATACATTTGCTATCTTAAATGCAGCTTTTATTGTCTGGGTTACTGCCAGATCACAGGTGTGTATATTTATGAGGTGTTGCAAAGCCATTTGCAAAAAGGTTTAACATTATAGAAGAGGAAGCGAAGCCTGAAACTCTGCTATCAAGAAGAATTTATTGTTAAGTTTACAGTATTGTTTTGACTAGTTCCTTCCAATAGTTATTCTGATAGTTAGCAGTTTTGTCCAGTCTTCCCCATCATATTGCATGCTTACATATTCTATCGTTCATTGCTCCTTTACTATTTATCACATATTCCATGTTCCACCTTCAGTTGCCTAATGACCTGAGTTTCATTCTTGTCTTTCATTTCAAGGTTCACAGCATGATTTCTCCATTCAGTTGGTTACTTTGTAAGACTTTTATGAGATGCCAGCCTATGAAGTAAGAAGAAAAACATATATATATTTTCCCTAACCAGAAGCATTAATGATGCAACCAACCTATGGAAAAGGGACATGGCAGTTACAAAGACATAAGGATTCTATTATTTAGAATCAATGATTCTTGGGTCAAACCCGCGGCCCGCAGCCCAGATTTGTCACATGCTGGCCACACCCATGCCCAGTTTAGCGATGGGGGGAAAAGTCCTGATATGTCACATGATGCCACTGTGACGACGCAAGTTTGACACCCCTGAGTATACACCACTGGATCAGCATTTCCCACTACAGTTTTGCAGAATGTAAGGACAAAATATTTGATGAATGGCAACATGCAGCAGATATAATTCTCAACATACAATATTCTCATCAGTATAAACTTAAAAGCAATAGTTCGTCGTACCTTAAAAGAACTAAAAGCTCTAGGAAGAAATTTAGCTGCTCAAATGAAACAAAGATAAGTAACCTGTAGCTCTCCAGAAGCTGATGGATTTTAATTTTCATCCCTGAACATCTACAATGTCAGTTAGGGGTGACAGTAACTTGAAACCAACAATATTCAGAGAGATTATCTTCTCTGTGACACAAAGTAGTGCACTGGAAATGTGGAATGAAAAATAAAACCTGGTCCTGTAATGGAACCTGTGGATGATTTGGAGAAGAGACGTTGTCTAGGAGACAATCAGACAAGAGTGTCAGGAACCTTTAGGGCAGGGGTGAAATTTACTTATCTCCCCTACCAGTTCAGAAGTGCACGTGCCCCGCATGCGTACAGACCCTCTGCGCATGCACAAACCCTTCTGTACATGCACAGAGGGTAAAAAACAGGTTACTTCCTGGTTAAAACCAGGAAGTAACAATGACTGGGCAGGTGGGCGGAGCCTCATGCTGCCGTTGCTACCGGTTCTCTGAACCACCCTGTCAGATGTAAATGCCTTATTCCCTAATGTGTAAATAATGTATATATGGGATATCAGGGGTTAACTTATTCTTTGTTTCCTAATGTATTCATAATTCACCACTCCCATCCTTGACTCCGCCCTTTGTATATATAAGGAGCCACCCTCACCATTTTCCTCGCTTCTATCTGTAAATATTCAGTGAATATAGAATGCCTGTTAAGATTAAAGAGAGATATATTTAAACCTCTAATCTTTATTATCATTATTGAGTCTGATCCTAAAAATATTGCAACACACCCGCCGCCATTGCTATCGGTTCAGACGAACTGGTCCAAACCTGTAGCATTTCACCCCTGCTTCAGTGACTTAATGGTCAGAAAGAAATTTAGGAATGACCTGTCCTAACAAATCAAGCAATTAGAAGTGGCGGCAGGAAATTTATACTTTCAGACTTGCAAGATTCTCTTAATGTAGCCTTAAAATAAAGTAAAATTAATTTATCTAGTTGTGTTTCCTCTGTGGTTTATCAGGAAGGGAAAGAAAGAGAAACAACTCCTAACATATATTTTCCAGTAAATAGCCTATTCTAAAATATGCTGATTCAGAAATATCTCCCATTATTTCCGTGAGATGAAGGTGTGGGGAAATTTTCCCTAGGAAGTATATTTTGAGTTGCTACCCAAGAATACAATGTTAAATTGTATTTATGCCTTAGAGTTAATGGCACCACACGAGATTCACTAACTAAAATGCGAGGTGCCCTCAATGTTAATTAAAACATTATATGGACATAATTATGAAGACTGAACAGCAGATTATCTTTCTTCACCCCTGTCATACTAGACAAGAAGCCTATGGAGTGTAAATCGCATTTTTCAGTCTGATTACTATGCCATTTCAAGGTGGATTCAATTAATGGAGATCACTCTGGAAAAATATTATTTATGGATATCTCAGGGACTATCCATGAAGCATATCAGATTTTTAAGATTTTCTTAACCTCTCCCTTTTTTTGTTAAACTTGCTTCTCTCATTTTGATAGCAATAACCTATCTAGAGATGTGCTGCCTGCTATAGATCACAATCTTCTTACTAGCACAAAGATATGCAGCAAATAAAATAAACTTTTTATAGCAATTTCAGAATCATTTTTAATTATCCCAAGCCTTTTTTAAAAATGTTTTTACACTTCTGAACAATTCCATTATGTTATGTTTCTTATTTATCTGTTTTCTTATAGAATTGGTATACTGAAAATATTTATGCCCCAAGTTGTAATTTTTCAGGAGAGGGAGGGAGAGACAATTTTGCTAGTTTAAAAAGAACAATAACAATACATACTGATCATCATTTTAGTAGTTTAACAACAATTTTTAATCTAATTAAAAATCCTATTATATTTCCAGATATCCTATGAAATTTATTGCTTATAAAACACATACAGTCCCACCAGATACTGTAAAGTAGAGGTTTGACATCCTAGATACGAATTTATCTGATTTTTTTAGGGCTGCTGACTAAATTTTATGATGCAATTTTTCAATTGATAAATTATTAATATTTCCAATAAGTAATTAGCAAATTAGCTGCCAAAACTAAAAGTATAATTAGTTTGTTATTATTTAACTTTACATTGTTTCCATCAAATATATGCAATATCTCCAAATTTTGTTGTAAATTTAATTTACAACCACTAGAAAAGTTGGTGTTCAGGTAGCCCTTGACTTATAATCACAATTGATCCAAAATTTTGATTGCAAAGCAAAACAGTTGTTAAATAAGTTTTGTCTCAACAACTTGCTATAATTGTTAACTGAATCATTTGTCAGGCTTTGAAACCTGACAAAAGCTTTTGCATTGGGCCTTCAGGCCTACCACATTTACTGTTGTGGGAAATTGGGAAGGGGGATTGTATGGAGCATGGGTGATATGTAGTCATAATAACATTCCTTTCTCAGAGAGTCAAGGACAGCTTGCCCTGCACCTGGAGGGGTGTGACTGGGAGGCATCTCCAGTTGGGAAGGTGCTTTGATTGGACCATGCCTTCTTCCCTCCCCCCCCCTCTCTTCCACCCTGCCTCCTCTCTCCCCTCCCTTTGGAGTATGAATAAAGTACTCCCTTCCATCCCTCTCCTCCTCCTCATCTTCAGAATCATGATGAGGAATCATGATTGATCATCAGGAATCAGATTGCAGAATTCCATGCTTTAGGGCACCTCTTTATCCATACTCCAAAGGGGAGGGGAGAGAGGAGGTGGGGGGAAGAGAGAGAGATGAGGGAAGAGAGGGAGACATTTTGGCAGCCTCTTGAATGTCTCTCTCCTTTTGCTGGATTTCTATTAACTCTAAAGAATTCCTTACTTCCACCCACTCTAGCCAATTTGTTGGGTGCTAACTGTCCCAGGCATCAAAAAAACCAGAACGAACTGTCCTACTGCATATCGGCTGCTACGAAGCGCATGGGATGGAGTGGCCGTGGTCCATTGCACATGGCGAATTGGTGGAGGCATGTCAGCCAAGGAGAATAGCCAGTGGAGAATCACAGGAGGGAGAAACGCTGGCGGAGAATTAGGGCAGCCAAATGTACGAGACAAACAGTCCAGGGGTGAAATGCTCCCAGTTCAGACCGGATCACCCGATCTGGTAGCGATGGAGACAGGTGGTTTGGAGAACCGGTAGCAAAAATCCCTGCCCTCTCCCCATTGCCCAGCTGAGCCGCGCAATCATCAGAGGCTTTTTATTTTTAAAGCATTTTTTCTATAACCTCTTTGGCCGAAAAAATGCTTTTAAAAGTTTAAAAAAAGCCTCTGATGAGCGCACAGCTCAGCTGGGATCATCAGAGGCTTTTAAAAGCATTTTTTCTACAACCTCTTCAGCCGAAGAGGTTATAGAAAAAATGTTTTTAAAAGGAAAAAAAGCTTCTGCCGATCAGGCAAGTCAGCTGGGATCGTCAGAGACTTTAAAAAAAAGAGAGAGAGAGCCTCTGCCGATCAGGCAAGTCAGCTGGGATCATCAGAGGCTTTAAAAGCATTTTTTTTACAACCTCTTCAGCCGAAGAGGTTGTAGAAAAATGGTTTTAAAAGTTAAAAAAAAAAAAAAGTTGGCCATACCCACTCAGTCATATTACCCACTACCACCAAGCCACACCCACAGAACCGGTAGTAACAAATTTTACATTTCACCACTGGAACAATCCCATTCCATAATTGAAACAACCATTACTATGTCAATCTCAGGACACCATCAGCAATCAGGACGAAGAAATTGATGACTAAGATATCCAGAAGGAAGCAACTAAGATAAATCACCGACAAATTCTTTATCAAACATTTAAGAATTAAAACTGGAATGGAAGAAGTCCATGACACTAATAAGAAAGGACATCAGCTATGTCTGAACAAATTAATAAGTACTATGTTTTAAGTATAAACATTTTATATAATTCAGACAACAAACCAAACATATAATTCTAGCACACAAAATACATCTAACTTAGAAAAAGTTCAAAACTATATTTTGGATATCAAGCTAGACTTGATGGATTTGCAAGAAATGGACATTGGAGAAGAAATCATCTAACAGCCAGAAAAAAATGCTGCAATTATTGATATAATTGTAGAGCCAGGAGAAGGTGAGGACAAAACGTAATGTAGTGTTTTGTGTTTTAAAACTACTGGATAAAGATTCTGAACCGCTGCTGATGAATTCTAGGAATTGAAGTCTGCCCATCTTTAAGCTAGCAAGGTTGAGAGGCATAACTCTAGGGTTTTTATTCCAGACTCAAAAAGGTACAAAGACCAAGAAACATTATATATTAAAAGGTTCCCATAACTCTCATACAACAGACAAAATTATTCATAAGCCACATGGACTGAAAAAAATAAGTTTGGAAAGAGATAAAGTGATGTTGTTTCAGGATCTCGGCCAAACTCCTTTAGAGAAAAGGAGAACATAAAAGCACCTCAATAGCAACTGACTAAATGAGAAATAAGCTATACAGTAGTGGCCAAAATTGTGGAAACCTTTTGGGAAAAGTGTATTTTTGAGGTTTGATGGCTAATAACACCACCTTATTTTGGAGTTTCAAGATAAT